TAACGCCCACATATTTAAAATATATTACTTTACAAAACTCTTAATTTGATTACTGTTCTACAAAACTGTAAACTCACAGTTTCTACACAGAGACAAGGTTTTGAATGGCTGATGAACTGTCCGATGTTTCCTTTGCCCTGAAGAATATTTGTCTCCATCCCTGCTATAATTGAGGAAAAGAGGGGCAGAGAGACCAAGCAGGGGAGCGAGCGTGTTGTCAGGGGAGCCTCGGCGGAGATGGTTTGATTGCACCACAAAGCTCAAAGCTGTCAGTCATACTTCAGAAACAAACAGAGTTTCTGTGCTCCCAGTGGAAATCCACTTTTATATACAGCGAGCCACTGAGATTGGGATTTGCATTGCGGTGGAGTTATAGACCTATGCAGAGACACTGACGGTAACTCGACACATTACTGTCTCACTGGCTTCTGCAGAAAAGATAAGATAAGAGTTTTTGGGACTGTTCTGACATAGTTGTAAAAAAGCTACCTATGTTACATCAAAAGAAAATTCAAACAGACACAATGATGTAAATGGGCTGTAAATACAATACAGCAGAAAATGCAGAGATTTTAAAATGACTACAGCAGGTTGCTTGGTGCTAAATAACTCTGCAGTATGTACTTGTTGTAACCATTATTATCTTTGATCACCATCTCCTTCAATCTTGCCTCAGTTGCATTACAGTCCCTATGTTGCTTCCTTTCTAAAGCTGTGGAGATGCAGTTATGCTTAGTATAATGAAAAGAGACACTGAACAAAAATGCAGGCACAATAATATCTGCTGTCTTGGTGTAGACTGACTAATTTCTTTGTTGTTGAATGTACTGTATTTAATTTAAGGCAACTTGTAAAGTAAGGACAGGAATTTTAATTATTCACTGATAATTGCTTTTGCAAACACAATGAAGTCTGCATCTCTTATTCTCTCTCTGCTTCCGTCAACACTTCTTAAAATAATAAAACGTTAATGTTAATATGAGATGCACGAACAATTTCAGCTTTTACACCCTTACAGTTAACCTGTAAATATCTGTTTCTCACAAATACCTCGATTAAATGAACAGTATAACATAATAGGATACATGTATGTTCGACAAAATAACACTTGGTGTTGAAATCATGGTTAAAAAATATGAGTAAAGAAGATTTTATTGAACTTGCTTTTCAATAAACAACATGTTTGTGTGTGGAAATCATAAACTGCTGATATTTCACAAAATTTGCCATTAACCAAAAGGTTTGTAATAGCAGTCAACTGGTGGAACTGGTTATACCATTTGACATTTCAATTCAAATTCGGAAGGCATTATCAATGTAACGTACTGTAAGCAGTACACATGTGTAAAGATTTCAAACACAGTTTTTGAAAAATTAAAATTTAATTTACGATTTTGATCAATTATCAATGTTTATCTTGGGTCATACCATTTGACATATAACCAAAGCACACCTGACCATATCCTAAAGACATCACTTTAAAAAAAAAAGAGAGAGTAACTTCTCTATAATATGATTTCCTGTCATATGGTCTTATACCAAAATGATTTGAATGGTGGTTACACCACCTTGATACTTTAAGAGTTGACTTGACTTGCATGATTCCAAAAAATAAATAATATTTAGACTTTACTTATTTATTCCATTTATTTTATTCAATATTAATCAACACAAATTCAAGATTATGCCAAACTAGTAAGCAAGTTAAATTATTTGGTACAAAGTTTTTATGGTTACCTCACATTGCCATCATCCCCCGAATATTCTCTCATAATCTATAAAATCCAGAAATTTTAGAATACACCCTCAAGAAAAGAATGTGTGCAAGTAATTTGTATGTTTATTTTAAAATTTTCAGCCTTTTAAATTTTACTAAACCCTATGGACACAAAAGAATTAGTGTCATGTCATTGACCAGCATAATAATATTATAATCTTATTTTCTTGGAGACAGATGGAGAAGACAGAACAATGGTTTGGTGAGATGAGTCAAGGTTAAGATATATCTTTATTTATATTTCTACATCATATTAAAAATAAGCCGTTTGTAATGATTTTATCATTAATAAATACGGAAAAATAGGAGTAAGTTTATAATATATATGATTTAATCTAGTGGTAAATTATATGTACGGTGTGACAAAATTCAATGTTTCTCATGTGGCCCCTCAGGAAAATATAACTGACCACTCCTGCTCTAGACTTGCATTATAACGCCTCAGCTGTTCAGTCAAGGCATTTCTGTGCTTGTCAAGTAGTTCACTTCAATAAGTCGTTATTTATTCCTGTCTCTAACATTACAATAACACAGTGTTGATCTGAGAACAGCTACCACTAGGTTATTATATTCATAGAAACTGTTAACAATTTGTTATAGTCATTACACTGAAGAGCAGACATTTCTCAAGTTATTTAAATTGTTTTGTTAAACTTTTTAACTTATTTGTCCTTGTATGACATTTATTGCTGCCTTGTGGCCTGCAACCACTACCATTTTAGCCTACAGAAAGTTTTGAATGATTTTGGTTCAGAGGTTCTGTGCTCAGCTTTGTGGATCTTTCAAACCAAAGCGAAGTCAATGAAACTTTTCGTGCACCCTGAGCACCAAATTCTGATGTCTCGTGTAATCAATGAGCACATGTCCCGTAATGCCAAGAATAGAGGGGCAGTGGCTGGTTGGACGGTTTTTGCCTTACACGCTGAGCAAAGGTAGTTAATAAAGGGCTAAAGGGCTGCAGTTAGCTCCGAGGTAGCCCTGAGGACAATATGACGAGAACTGAGCTGTGAACAGCCCCAGAGGAAGGATGTATACAGTGATACGACCTGACACCTCTCTCGAGGCATATGAAAACCTTGAAACTACAGCACACACAGCATAGATTTCAATTACCTATACCCGTTGTCGGAGGTTCAAGTTCAGATAGCATTAGCTAAATTAGCACAACTTTGCTTATTCATTACGGCTGGTCTCAGAGGACTGACACAGACGGAAAGGACACAACTCACTAAAGGTACTGTACCTATCGTTGCACACGGACAACTCCTGGCCTCGTCAAGGACTGATCCGCAAGGTTAGCTGGCAACTGCAGTCAGAGGGCCATTAGTCAAGCTGCTGAGGAACGGTGTGATAGGACTTCCGGTTTCGATTTTTTTTTCATGTCGCATGTCGACCCGGATGCACAAACATAAAACACTTTTCAGCCATCATTAGTATTTTGCGATGACCATTTAGTCAAATCACACTAACTTTACAGGACCAGTGCTGTGGTGGTAAAAAAAAAAGAAGAAAAAAAAGGTGGATAAACGATCATTTTCGGCCAGCTCTCTGAGGCCTTTGTTAAAAAGGTGAATTAAAGGTCCAGTGTGTAAGATTTAGGTGAAAGGGAACTATTGGCAGAAATTTAATCTAGAATAATCCTCATGATGTTTTCACTAGTTAATTTCATCTAAATTGGATAAAATGTAGTTTTCTTTACCCCAGAAAAGACCCTTTATATTTATATACTTTATATTTACATCGAGGGGACCCTCTCTACGGAGGCCTCATGTTTTTTACATTAGTCCAGACTGGACAAACTTAACACCTTTTGAGTTTTTATGACAACCCAAGACTACCAGTTTCTTTTTTTATGTTTGGAAGGAGAGGGTGAGGTGAGGGGTGTTCAGCTGTAACATGCAATTTTAGCACGAGATATCACAATATTCTACACACTGTACCTTTAACTTCAGTCATCCATATACGATATTATATATAGGAGACAAGAACTGATATGGAATCATGTAGACCAATAATTTAACATTTTATTATCATTATTGTTGTTCATTTGTACTGGTGTGGGGTTAAAAAAATTATGAAATGCAACCTTAGAACAATTTGAGGGACTACATTACTTGTAATTGTGTTGCAATTTCCTATTACTTTATAGAGTGTGCAAGCTGCGAGCGCTGTCTGCTAAGGAGACGGGAGCCAGGCAACAGTGATGCTCAGGAAACAATGGTGTGGAATTTGACTCAAACTTTTAAACAAATTGGACAATAATTTATATTTTGTAATTAAAATGGTACATAAATGGTGTTTATGTGCGTTTAACCTCCACTACAGCCCTGCACAGTACCCTTTTTTGTCTCAGGACCAGATGAACTGCCTGTGGGGCCCCTGCTGACTTTCACTATACATGACACTTAAATGACAGACAGCCAGAAACCAGTGCGCAAGGACTAAACTTATTAAAAGTCAAATTAAAGCCTCTGTTCATTACTTTAAACAAGCAAAAAAAAAATCAAAATCATAATTATGATTATGATTTCTTACAGATTTGCTATGAATAAAATGCATTGGACACCTGTGGAATGGGGTAAACTTGAGGACAAAAGGACCATCTGAAAAACTAAAAGAAAACAAGACATTGAATTTCATATCAGAAAAAAGGATTGAGGAAACCTTTTAATCTTAATACAATGCATGCTTGGAAGAATATGCAAATGGTGCCCAATATTTCTAAATAATTGAATGTTGTTATATTAAGACATTAGTCAATGACACGAAAGGGATTTTCTCAGTTGAACTCAAGGATGATGTACACAGTAATTCTACTGCATCAGGATACTCTTTGCAATAAATTACAGATGGAGACTTAAGTAAACACGACATGTGTTTGTTCAGAGAAGAAGCCAACTTCATTGAAACAATTGAAATAATGATAATTACAGTATTAGGCCCAAGAACGTGTGTTACAATGTCAAAGAAAAGATGGTGGTGTTTTGACGGCTTGAGTGGTTTGATCATTCTTTATTCTCCAGCGACATTGTGAGGGGAAAACATAGGCATCACGACTGACTTATTAAGATTGGGTGAAACAAATGGCACCACAGAGAACTCTTTAGCTGTAAATGACTGCAAATTTAACACAATGATATTTCAGCTGTACTGTCTACCTGCACATAAATCAGTCAGAGAAGTCAGCAGGGTGGTCAGGCAATGCTATGCATTTCGTTCTCATACCTTCAAATTTAGGGAACTGTGCCATGTCCACTGAGTCGGTCTGATGGACACACACTATGCTGGGAACAGTTAGCCCATGTTGTGGCGATTTCCATAACCCCTGCGATGAGTGTCTTTCCACTCATCCCAGTTTCTGGCTTTCAGCAGAGACTCTTCATCATCCTTTTCAGCTTTTTTCTCTTTTTCCTCTTCTTCCCCCTCCATTGCATTAGCGTCGTCATCCACGGCGATCCTCTTAGATATTGCCTGATCAGGCAGGACTCCATGTTTCCTGTGCTGTTCATACCAGTCATCTACTGTCATAGTGGGAAGGCTTGGGTAGCCAGGCCCGAAAACCTGAGCCTGTGGACGAGACAAATGCACTCTGTCAAATATGTTGGCCTGTAGGGTTGTTCGGTATACCAGTACTAAATTGGTACCGGGGTACTGATGGATTTAAAATGGTACTATAAGACCGGTACTTTTTTTTTTTTTTTTTACGTCGTCGCATGACGTCACCGCATGCAAACGGTGTTACAAAACATGTGTGGCCAAGGGTGGAAACACTTCCAACTTGACAAAACACTTGAAGGACAAGCACCCAGACCTGCACAAGGAGTACAGAGAACGACAGGTAATAACTTATATACCCATGAAAACAAAGCCACATTAAGTGCTAAAAGCAAGCAACGCCAGCCCCCTTCACGCTCCACAAAAGTAGTGCTGGAAAAAATTTAAGCCTGTCTTTGTGGTATTTTATTTTAATTACTGATGCATAATGTTATAGTTCTAAGATTTTCTATTAAAATAAAGTCGATAATGACATTTTTTGTGTTCTCTTTTTATTTGGAAAAGTACCGAAAAGTATTCAAATACATGTTGGTACAGTGACAACACTAACGGCCTGTAACACTGAGACCTGCCATCTTTGAGAGGACTGTTTAAATGCAACTCAGTCCGTAAGTGTCCTGCTGTTCCAACAGTTCAATTGACCCGTTTGTGTTTACATACCATCTGCACTTCTCTTGTTTAAAGAACTGTCAGATTTTTGGAGATCGAAAGGTATTTCACTTTGATTGGACGAGTTGTGTTAGCTTCATTAGCCAGAGAGATGATGACTGTTGTTAATGCAATCCAACAAACATCAGTTCATGCAAAATGCAGCTGAAGTGCTTTTTATTTGGCATGTTAGGAGCATCAGAGAGATAAAATCCAGGTGTGAAAAGCTTGTACAGATTTTGCTCAGCTAAATTTAAGATTAAGCTATTCTCCAATTGGCTTCTACAAAGTACTGAATTAAGGCTCTTAAGACTTTTAGGCATGTAAAACAAGCCCTACACAAAGACTCACCTGTAGAGTATTCTTGGTGAGGATGAATGGTTTCATGGGAGGCCTGACCGGCTGACTTGGTTGCTTGGCAGCACTCTGCTTTAGAACATCCATCTTGCTGAGTATCTCCACCTCCTGATCAATACTCTCGATTTCCTCCAGACACACAGTCACCCATCTCTGGACGTTCAGAAGGTAAAAATCTCGGTTGACTTCATCATCGTCCTGTCCGCTGTCTATGGCACTTTTAACATGTGACAGTCTGGTTTCCAGCGCCTTCTTCTGACGGTACCGCTCGATCTTAGTTTGTCTCTGTGCTGCCATGGCAACCAGGTCTGATGGGCAGGGGACAGACTGGAACAAGAAGCACATTTTAATGTTCAGATTATCAAATTATTCCTTTTCAATCTATGCTCTTAATGACTCTTAAACAGAAATGCGTAAGTGAGAGTGCTGATCCTTTCTCTCTGTCGTAGTATCACCTAATTTATTTCAATTTATGTCATTAGTCCTGCCAAACATATGGTATGAAACAGTTTAATGCTAGACTATGATACAATTCCATACATTTCGAAGTAATTACCGTAGTGATTTGGTCGGAACAGCAGGAGATCTAGTAGTGCTCTGGCCATAGTTTGATAAGATAATTTGCCCTGATGTGTGCACTCTGCTCGGGTTCTGTGTGTGTGTTTGAGTCATCTTATGGGTGGGCGGTATACCAGTTTCAGAGTCATTATGGGTGTGATAGTGCGGTACAACATGGATTTTGTAATGCTGTCATTACTGTGATAAATAAAAAGCATAAAAAGTAAAGCCTATCAGCAGCTGCCTTTATGCAAGATGTATGGTAAAAGGATGATCAATTAAAGCATCAAAAGTACCATCTAAGCTTAATAGAGATGAGCAGATTGTTGAAACTGTCAATGTAGAGAGTTTTGATTTTGAATGAAAGAGTAAAAAACAGTGATATTAACTTTAGGTCATATTGCCCACCCATTACTCGCTCCTTGTTAGTTGACTTGAAGAAAGATTTTTTTCCCCCACATAAATGTATTGATTTTTTCCCCCACATATAATAGACTTGTTTTAACAATATTATAAACACACCATTGAATCCCCACCCACTACAATATCATCATTGCTCTCCCCACCCTGCAACTTACAAAAAAAATTATGACAATCAGCAGCACATAATACAAACACAAATAAGAGGCTAACTAATGATAGTACACATACAAATTAAAGATAATAATAAAAAAAAATAAAAAAAGCTTCTTAACATGGCTCCGCGCCACTACGAACATCCAACAGTCCGCTGTCTTTTTGATTGACATATCTTTTGCCATCTCTCGAAACCATCTGCCTATCCTTGGTCTATCTTTGGTAACTATTCTTAGTTTATGTTCCCTTTTTCAAATATATAGTATATTGTCAGCCAGTTACATTGTAACAGTTTTAACCCTGTATTCATTGTTTGTTGCTGAGCATCCCTATATGCCCCCCTCCAGTCATTCATTTAGATAACCTCATTGAGATCCTGTTTTGTAGCCGCCAATCTAGACTCTGAAGATTCTGGAGAACCTGATTCCAGCATGACATATAACACAGAAATCAAGCCCTTATCAGAGCAATCTCAAGTGACTACTCTTTCCAAGGCAGAGAGAGGGGGCAAATCAATCAATCTGTATACACTGTATTTATAAAATAGTGTTTCAGTCTCCCTGTTGAGAAAAAAATCATCAAGTTAAATGGTGCTTTTTAAAACATTGACACCAAATTTTTTTTAAAAAGATCAACGTTTACATAAGGTATGTGATCAGCTCGTTATTGTCATTAAAGCACAATCACAACAAATAAGTGAACACAGAACTTTCTCTTACAGTATACCTCTCCTTCCCCTCCCTTTAGAGAACATTCCCCTGAGGACCAATAGGGCCTGGTACCTCTGAGGATCAACCCTTGTAGTTGGGCCTTCTAGCACTTTTGCCCTCACTGAACCATATACAGTGGTACGAAAAAGTTTGGGCACCCCTGATCATTTTCAAGATTTTCCTTTATGTATCATTGGTTGTTCGGAACAGAAATTCCAATTGCATATATCATATAGCATACAAACACAGTGATATTTAAGAAGTGTGCAATAATTACTTAAACAAAAGTAAGCATGTGCATAAATTTGGGCACCCTTGTTGTTTTATTGATTTGAATACCTTTAGCACTAATTATTGGAACACAAAATTTGTATGGTAAGCTCATTGACCCTTGACCTACATAAGACTGGCAACATGGGAGCCTCAAAACAACTGTCAAATGACCTGAAAACAAAGATCGTTCAACATCATGGTTTAGGGGAAGGATACAAAAAGCTACCTCAGAGATTTCAGCTGTCAGTTTCCACTGTGAGGAACATAGTGAGGAAATGGAAGACCACAGGCACAGTTCTAGTTAAGGCCCATAGTGGCAGGCCAAGAAAAATCTCAGATAAGCAGAGGCGAAGGATGGTGAGAACAG